CAGCCTACCGCCGGCGACTCACAGCATCCCAGCTCCAGGTTGAGCTGTTATTCAGCATCTTAGCTGTAGAGGACAGTGTCTCTGGCCCTCATATGTGGGATCCGAACCGGAGCCCTCTGGCGTCCCAAGCCAGTTCTTAACCATCATGCCACTCGGCCGGCCCCAGGGGGATCACTTCTTAAAACATATAAACGTCTAACCACTATGCTGTACACCTGAAGTTAATATAAAATAATATTGAATATCAAGTGTAATTGAAAAAGTTTAAAAAGTGAGGGAAAAGGTGAAGGGGAGCAAGAGGTCCAAATTTCCAGGTATAAAACAAATAAGTCATGGGGATGATTTTAATGTACAGCATAGGGAAAATAGTAATATTGTGATAGCATAGTATGGTGTCAGATGGTTGCTGGACTTTTACCATGGTAATCACTTCTTTAGGTCTATAAATGTTGAATAACTATGGTATACACCTGAAACTAATATAATATTGTGTGTTAGCTATATTTTAATAAAAATCTGTAAAAAAAACATTTAGGTGGGCAGTTTCTAGTCAGTTATATGCCAAACCACTTTCTTTTTAACCTGGACTGCCCTACACATGTGTTTTTTATTGTTATTGTTTTATTTCCTGGCTTCTTCAGAGGTTAGAGTTTGCTTTACCATCCCGGCTTTAGTGAGAACCCAGCTCCAGCCCACTTCCTCCCCGCCACCCACTCCAGCAGCCCCTGCCCTCACTGGCAAACCAGGTAGAAAGCTCTGGTGAAGAGATTTAAACCTCTGACACACAGCTGCCACTGCTATTCCTTCTGATACTTGAGCAAACAGAACTCCCTAGGAGCCACAGTCCCTGTGCCATGTAGTCAATGCTTAATCAAGTTTTCACACCGAGACCCTGCCTCTCTGAAAAAGAGGCTGGTGCTTTCCAAGCATTAGGGCAGAATGACATCGACAAGTTTGAATTGGGATTCACCTTTGCCAAGGCAAATTCAAGTGAAAATAAAGTATGGGATTGTTTGTACTTTATTAAAGGATATGTTCTGGAAAACCTTACATAATTTAAAAACTCCATTTTGTGTGTGTGTGTGTGTGTGTGTGTGTGTGAGTGTATTAGATGTATTATGCATAATATATAATTTATATATAAACCACATAATATAAATAATTAAAAATACATGAAGATTATTTTATATATGCTTTTAAACATACTTTTCAGCATAGTCCTTTTTAATTTGGGGGAATTTGCTTTTTTTCAGATGTTGGGCACAAAGTGAAATGACACTTAACCATTCCAATTTGTATAATCCAGATGCTCTCAAAATGCAACTACATAAAATATGCACATTTGAAAATCCTTCTTTTTCTTGATTTTAGGTTCCTATTAATTCGTTTAAAAGAATTTTGTGGAGAATTTCTCAAGAAAAAACTTCATCTCTCTAATTGTGTGGCCATTCATAGCTTAGCTCACATGTATACCCTGAGCCAGCTCGCTCTGAAAGCTGCCGACATGATCCGGAGAAATTTCCACAAAGTAATTCAGGACGAGGAGTTTTATACTTTACCTTTCCACCTCATTCGAGACTGGCTGTCGGACTTGGAAATTACAGTGGATTCGGAAGAGGTTCTCTTTGAAACGGTTCTGAAGTGGGTTCAGAGAAATGCTGAAGAGAGAGAGAGGTACTTTGAAGAACTTTTTAAATTGCTCAGATTGTCCCAGATGAAACCCACTTACCTTACTCGGCATGTCAAACCAGAGCGGCTGGTGGCTAATAACGAAGTATGCGTCAAGTTAGTGGCGGACGCTGTGGAGAGGCATGCCCTGAGAGCCGAGAACATACAGTCTGGCACGTTCCAGCACCCCGCTTCTCATGTTTCATTGTTACCTCGCTATGGGCAAAACATGGATGTGATCATGGTTATTGGAGGCGTGTCAGAAGGGGGAGACTATTTAAGTGAATGTGTCGGATATTTTGTCGATGAGGACCGATGGGTAAACCTGCCCCATATTCATAATCACCTGGACGGACATGCTGTAGCAGTAACAGAGTCCTATGTGTATGTTGCTGGATCAATGGAGCCAGGGTTTGCTAAAACTGTGGAAAGATATAACCCCAATTTGAATACGTGGGAACACGTTTGCAGCCTAATGACCAGGAAGCATTCTTTTGGGCTAACAGAAGTCAAAGGGAAACTCTACAGCATTGGAGGACATGGCAACTTTAGTCCTGGCTTTAAAGATGTAACTGTTTATAATCCCGAGCTTGATAAATGGCACAACTTGGAATCGGCACCAAAGATTCTCCGAGATGTCAAAGCACTGGCCATTGAGGACAGGTTTGTGTACATCGCCGCCCGGACTCCTGTGGACCGGGACACCGAGGACGGATTAAAGGCTGTAATTACTTGCTATGATACGGAGACGCGACAGTGGCAGGATGTGGAGTCATTGCCACTGATTGACAATTACTGCTTTTTCCAGATGTCCGTGGTTCACTCAAACTTCTATCAGACAGCATCATGCTGTCCCAAGACTTATTCTCTAGAAAATGAAGAGGCAGTAAGGAAAATTGCCAGCCAAGTTTCCGATGAGATCCTTGAAAGCTTACCTCCAGAAGTCCTGAGCATCGAAGGAGCAGCCATTTGCTATTACAAAGATGACGTTTTCATCATTGGAGGCTGGAAAAACAGTGATGATATTGATAAGCAGTATCGGAAAGAAGCCTACCGATACTGTGCTGAGAGAAAGAGGTGGATGCTCCTTCCTCCCATGCCGCAGCCTCGCTGTAGGGCCACGGCTTGTCACGTGAGAATCCCATACCGGTACTTGCATGGCACACAGAGATATCCTATGCCTCAAAACTTAATGTGGCAGAAGGACCGGATCAGACAGATGCAAGAAATACATCGGCATGCCCTAAACATGCGGCGAGTGCCAAGTTCTCAGATTGAATGCTAGGTTCTCTAATACGTGCAGCTTATAACAGTTATACCAGTTTTGTGAGGCTGAAGATATCCATCCAGACTGTTACTTGAAAAAGTGTGTCGATAACTTATTTTCTACCTGAACGGATTATTGCCCCATAGAAAGGAAATATAGCTGAAAAACTGCAGAGTGGGAAACTCAGTTCAACACGTGGTAATATTTTGTTAGCTTGCAATCTTTTTCTGTCTTTGGTTTCTGTGTATGTGCTAGCTAAGTGAGATTTTTTTTTTTTAAAGATTTTATTGGGAAATTGGGGGAGGGGAACACACAAGTAGCTGTCCTTTGGTTCCTCAGTATAGTTGTGGAGGACGTCGCTTCACAGGCCCACGTTGGTATTATCATTGCACTCTTCCCGGGTGAGGCAGTCACTCCCCTGCCATTGGATGGCCGCTCAGGACGGCTCTTGGCAGCTGTTGGCAGCTCACCCTGGCTGCTGGCCACTCACGCTGGCTCCCAGCCACTCACTGTAGCCTACGCTGTCACCGGCGACTCACCGCTGCCCAGCTCCAGGTCGAGCTGTTGTTCACCATCTTAGCTGTAGAGGACAGTGTCACTGGCCGTAATGTGGGATCCGAACCCCGGCCCTGCTGCTCAGAGCTGGCGTCCCAAGCCAATTCCTAACCAACGCGCCACTCGGCCAGCCCAGTAAGATCTTTTTAAAGACAAGTGGGAAAACCAGGTGGTGGTTACTTGGCTGTTTTTCTGCCAAGAAGTTATATCTCCTTTGTCTTAGGGACTTATGTTTTGAACATGCTTTGAACACCAATTTTATTTGCACATTTACTTTGATACTCCTTTTCATTTTTTTCCTGAATGGTTGGTTTTGAAAAGATCAGAACTTATGCATTAGCCTTCCTTTGCAGGAGGTATGTGCAATAGACTGAAATTTGAAGGGAAAAAAAGCACAATATTTCAGCAAGATGATTTCAGAATGTTTGCATTGGTATTTTGTTGTTTATATAGAAATACTGTTTTCTCTCTAAAAGAGATCACTGATAAGAAATTTGTGACTGGCACATGCATTTTGAATATTTTTCATTTCTTTAGCAATTGACTTAACGACTTCAAGCCATTTCTCTGAGATGATGGTAGTTGGCAAGAGTATTGATGTTTAGCTGATTGATTGAATACAGAGGACATTATATATATATGTGAAATTTGTTTCTCTAAGAAGAGAAATATTATTAGTATAGACTGAGAAATCAAAGGCATTAAAAAAATTTAAAACGCTTTTTTCCAGGAGTTGCAGGCTTATTTGAGGATAAGTTAATCAGTGTAAATAATGCCTATGACAATCGACACTCGATGCCTTCAGTTTTAAATTTTGCTCTAATGCATTGTATAGAATCCTCCCCATTCCTTTCTAAAAGAAACTTTTCTCAAAATGGGAAGGCAATAGCAATTTAGAGAAATGTTACTAAAGAGAAGCCTTATTATTTCTCAGCCCCAATTGTTATAATGTCTTATCCAGTTGCCCTGGACTTTAATTGAAACTCTACCTGAGCCAAAAATACCAAATTTAAGTGCATAATTCTGGCTCTTAAAAAAGCTGTAGTTAGCTTTTATTTATTTTTATGTATTCTTCTGATTCTCTTACACACTCCCAAGCTTTATACGAATTAGCACTCAGGTTGATTCTTTTAGCACTCAGTTAACTCCTGCTCCTACTGTTTGCAGTGTGGGTCTAGTATATTTTCCTTGTTTCTTTCAGACTATCTCTACCTTCTTAGACATTCCAGAATACTGTTCTAGAAGTTGAATTTTAAGTGCAGTGATTTTTTTTCTTTCCCTACTCCATTAGAGTTAACCTCCTTATTAGTTGTATCAAACATCAAAAGAAAAAAGTACAACTAGAAATTTTGGCTCTCAATTGGCTGCAAAACTATTAATGTTTAGCCCTTGAACTCTATACTAAGAACTTCCCTAAAATGTCTAAATTGGCATCCCTGCGTAGGACCAAGTGTTTCAATAAACATGTTGGAAATTTGCTTTAAAACCATTTTAGACTGGGGTTGGGGTAGGAAACTACAAGTCATATTTCTATATGAGGACATATTTCCTTACCCCATCTCTACTATTTTCTCAATTTCCATGTATTTGTATTTTAATAAAAGCCATTGGATTCTGAGAAGTGCTAATTCTTAGTTGTGAGAGGTCTATGCAAGTCAGACAGAAAAAAGCTCCTTGAATGAAGTCCTCAGTTCTCTCTGATAGACTGCTAGCAAACTTCCTTTTCTTCGTGGTGGTTAAGGAATTTAGTAGCTCACTAGGACACCAGTTTCTTTCCAGAAGAGTGTGATGTAAGGATTTTGGGTTTCTTTTTTTGTCGTAGGGTTGTTTTCTGAGACAATCATTACTAATTTATTTGGAGGGTTGTCTTTATTTCACAAAATGTGGTAGAAATTATAAATCGTAAGATTTAGGTATAATCTGGTTTTGAAAACTTGATTGAAATTGTTGTTTTTTAACCCAGCAGGCAGCCTAGGCCATGGGTGAAAAGAAGGGGGTAAGTCCTTCCTTGCATGATGATGTGTGCAGGTTTTCCTGACTACTGAATTTCTAATTTTCATATTTGAATTCACACGTGTGACTTCACATCAATAACTTATGTTTCTGAGGTATCCGAACTAACTTGTTAATCAGGAAAGAAACCAGATTTGCTTAAATCTGTTCAAGGCTGACATTCTGAAATTTTCAACTGGAAATAACTTCCTGGCGTATTTGGAAAGGTTCTGATTATGACCAGCCTAAAATGGCTGTTTGGGAAAGAAATTTCCTTTTTTGATGAAAACTTAAAGATTGTGCTTGATAATTTAAGCAGTTAAAAAGACAGCTTTAAAATGTATTTAAGCAAACTTTAAAATTTTTTTTTTGGTTTTGTGGAACGCAGAGAGGAATTGATTATACAAAAAGTAATAACAATACATAACTTTGAATGAAGCTGCTTTTGTCTCATAACGGATATCTTTTAACTATACTTACCCACTATGGTTAAAAAAAAATCAGTGGTATATATTGAGAATGTCAGTCATGAGCTTACTGTTTAAGTATCTCACAGTTATTTGCATGATTAGTCTTGTGTATCTTGGTATTCAACTTTGCTTTTGCTGTGCCAATTCAAAAATCTTTTTCTAAAAAAAGTTCAGAATTCATTGACATCAGTTTTGTTTCGATCAGTTGGTTTTGTATAGTAGTTCTGGGACCAAAACATTTTAACATACCGACTTTTTAAATATAGAACAGATGTTTGGAGCTGGAAAGACAGTGTTTATGGAAGATTTGTGTGCTTTTATATGTTAAACTCTTTAGGCTGCTGGTAAGGCAGTTTCTAGGGCACACTTTTTTCCTCTTCATGTTTCTTGACTAGTGTAGCATGTGGTGTGTTTAAATACTTTATTCTCTGCTTCATAATTCTAATATGAACACTATACTGTAGGTAGACAGGTAAGCTAAATTGTGTATTTTAGTTACTTGGCCTAATGAAGCATAACTAAAGGGACTCTTTTTGTACTTTCCTCAAGTTAAGCTTAAATAAAAAGTGTATATTGGCCAACTTTTGTGTCCTTGGAAAACATACAGAATTGTGAAGCAAGTTCTCTGCATACACTAGAAAAATAGGGTGCTGATAGGTTGCTGTTTAACTGTAGTATATTTGAGAAACAGTTCAGTCTCCTTTTTTAACTGTTAAACAATTGGCACAGTTCATCACTCCAGTTTATTACTTTCTTGAGAATAGTCCATTTTTGTTTTTGTTACAATGCTTACATTATAATGAGTTCTGGTCATTGGAAACAAAAGAGCTCATAGTTGAGTGATGTGATACAATAACAATAACATAATATAGTAGTCATTTTGCTTCGAGGAATTTAGATAGCCAAATAACTGCTATTTGTTGCTTACCTTTGTAGGGCTTTTGTCTTACGCTATATGACCATTACTGCGAATTTCTGACAGTGAAGCACATATAGTAGAGCACTTGCTGTTAACTTGATCCTCCTGCATAATGCACTCGTGCAAAGTAGTGCTTGCTAGATGTTTGAAGATCTTAGGATCCCTGTGCTAGGGCTCATTGAGTTATCTGTAAAATAAATATGTAGTTCAAGCTGATATACAGTGAATTTTGGGGGCCAGCAGTATCCAAGCTCCTACTTTACTGAAAGTATAATTGTGACTATCTCCCGTCAGTCAGAGGAGATGTGGAATTTAGGACACTTTGAGACATTGCATTGTAAAATAGCTTGTTTTATGTTTCTAAAGCTATCTTGTTCTGTGTTAAATCATCTCAATGTAAGTTTTAAATAAATGTATTTCATTAGAGCTGGTTTGCACTGTGTGATTATTATTATTTTCATTTTTAAGTATGCACTGTTGCTTTCTACCTTCCCTCTTACTCCCTCATTCATCCAACCCTTGGCTCCCTTAAGTTGAACATTTTCCAATACTCTTAAAAGTTTAAACACTCCATTTATTTAAAAAAAGAATTAATCCTTATTGCTTAGACTTTTTATTAGCTAAATGAAGAGGCTCATACAGGTAGGGTACTTGTTGAAGCGGAGTACTTTACTTCTTCTCGCAGTGCTAGTGCTGTGAAGTTGTCCCTTCTAGCTGCGTATTCCCCAACATTGGCCAGCCCTGGTACCACACAGCAGCTCAGAGCACTGCGGTATATACTCATGTCATGAGCATCATACCACTCGTCGGTCTTTTCATCATAGCACTCAACATTAAAAGTGGTGGTAAAGCCATTAAAGCCACCCACCACAAACAAGAGGTCGTCTACCACCTCGATGCCAAAATTGCTACGAGGATTAAACATAGTGGGGATCGTGCGCCAAGTGTTAGCCACGGGGCTGTAGGCTTCTGCACTCCTGAGTCGATTGGCTCCATCAAAGCCGCCTACCTGTGGACAGCAAAGGAAAATGATTGACTGTTAAGCTCTGCTTCTGTTCACCTAGGAGGCCCTTTTAGGGGAGGACCAGTGATTTCAGACCTCCCTCTTCCACTATCTTCCATGAAAAAAAGCTTGTCAGATGCTTACCAACAGTAGCGTAAAGCTATTTACTAATTGAAAATCAAGGGGTATCGTCTCTGTGGTGGTACAAGATAAACTCACCGCATAGACGTGTTCTCCATAAGCAATGACACCTATTCCACTCCTCCTGCTTCTCATGGGTGCTATGACGGTCCACTGATTACTCTCAGTGTTGTACACTTCTGCTGTAAACAGGCACTCGTTTCCATTAAACCCACCACATATATAGACCTGTGTGAAGACAGTTCCAAGATTACGAAAACCGTTTCCTCTGGGGAGTGGAAAGAAAGGGCGTGTATACCTGGGGTGCCAAAAAAATGTATACAAGTGGACACTTAGGTCAACGTTGCTCAAGCAGTAGTTCGCCATAATCAGAAGTGTCTGGACATTGATGGTAACCACTTTCAGCATCTCTTGTCATTGCAGAAGTCAAACGTGACTTGTATTCATCTTTTGTTATCGGTATAGATTATTACAATGGTAATAGTTTTTTTCCTTTCTTAAAATGTGTGTACATTTTTTTGGCACCCTCTGTATATGGTGGTGGTGGTGGTGGTGGTGGGGACACTTTTGGTACCAGTCTGTACAATCTGAGTTTCTTTTTTCCACATGTGCATGCACTGCTTTTTTAGTAAGTAAAATAAGCAAAGATAATTGCAAGGGGCCACTTAGTTATCTGACAGACTTAGTACTACAGAGTTGAGTACTGCCACTTCTGTTTTCCATCCACCCCAGAAAAACAAAGAAGAGCATTCATTATTTCTGGGCTTGTTTGCATTCACATCTCCTGCACCCCCCCACCCCCGAGTCTTACCTTTTCATAGAGTGTTGTGGCACTGGCATCACTCCTCTGTTCATGCATGGGGGCAATGAGTGTCCATTGATTGGTCTCTGGCTCATAACGTTCAGCAGTGTTAAGACGCACATAGCCATCAAACCCTCCCATGGCATAAATAAAATTGCTGAGGACTGTAACGCTGACATAGCAACGTCTGGAGTGCATTGGGGCCACCTGATGCCAAGTTTTCTTGACTGGGTCAAAACGCTTAACACTATTGAAATAGTCTACGCTATCAAACCCCCCAATGATATAAACATAGCCTTTCAAATAGGCTGCCCCGTGGTAGGCACGGGGACTCTCCTCCTCACAAGTCACATTCACCCATCTGTCTGCTCGAGCATCATAAGCCTCAATGGCATTGGTAGGACTCCCACCACTCCAGCCACCAATTGCAAATAGGATGGCGTAGGGCAGGCGGGGCCTGGTGAGTGGGTTGGTAAAGTCAGAATTAGAGGGTCCATTCATGTTTAGGTCATACATGGCCTTTAGGGCATTGATGATGACTGGCTTGCATTCCTCGCTGTCTTTGACATAGTCATTCATCTTAACATTGTTCATGAAGTACTCAGCATGCATTAGGGCCAGGCGAACCTAAGAAGGAAATGCAGAAAATCATTTAGGTGAGGTGAGGGTGCCTGGAAAACCCATATCCTTAATCCCATTTTATAGTCTACCTTTGAATTACAGTAGGGTCATATTTTGCTTTGTTTTTGAAATTTACAACTCACAGTTTAAAATATTTGTTTTTCAGAGGTGGTATAAATTTGGATACTGAGAATGAGTGAGACAGAAGACAGACACCTCAAATGGTCAGTGAGCTAGCCCATTCCTTGGCCACTGGACAGCACTATTAGACCAAAAAAAAAAAAGCTGTAGTAATTGTTCCATAATTGAATATCTATGTCTCTATAAGTAAAATAACATGAATTTGCACCAAATGGCTACAATTGAGTGCAATACTCATGGTTTGGTTACTTGTCCAACTTCTATCTTGAGTTTGGGGAACTCACAGAACAGACAAAAAGGTGAGAGGAAGACCCTCTAGAATTCTTTTGAAGGCCTTGTCCTGCTCCTTCCCCCACTATTGGAGAATTTTGGTCAAAGAATATAACTGGGGTAGAAGGAACTAGCAATGCCAAGGGCAAGGAAAATTGCAAAATTCCAGAAACCAGAAGAAGATGCCTTCTATAGAAGTACAGGTAAATACAGCCCTGGAATCTGTCAAACATTTGAATGTGGCTCTCAGGACAATCCCTCCGGGATAAATGAACCAAACATGAGCAATTAAGCACTCCACTCCACAAAATATAATTAAATTTGACCTTGGGAAGCAAAGCTGAAATATGCTGCTTCCTATTTTGGGGGTCGTGAGAAATCCATTTTAAAATGGCTTCAAATACAGCATCTTCTTGTTTGACGTTGAGCTCATCTTTCTCAATGATGTCCTTCAGTTCAGTGACGGAAAGCTCTAAAAACTCTGCTGAGACTTTCACCATCTCCTCGAAGTTGTGCAGTATGAACATGTAGGCCTTCTGCCTCAGTTCCGGGCAATAGTAGTAGTCTGTGAATTTGCAGATGCCGATACAATTATCCAAACACAGCTCCGACTTGAGGAACTCACAGCAACCCCTGACGATACCCATAATGTTAAATTGGTCTGCAGCAGCCAGCAGCTTCTCCACGTTGTCCGGAGTGATAGGAACGGTCCTGGTGTACGCATATTCAATAATTAGCTTCATCATGTCGGGGGAAATGCCAGGAATGTTGTATACCTTCTTTTCAGTGTTGTTCCAGCCACTTGTAAACAAAGCTCTGAAAGAAAGAAAGAAAGAAAGAAATTGACAGCCACCGAAACATTTCTCTTTGGATTGCCATGCCCTCCCCTACCTTTTCTTGTTGAGAGTTTGGACATTTTCCAAAGAGTGCACAGTGAGTATATTGGGAATAAAGTGGGGTGGGGAAGGGGAGGGCAGACTGTGCTTTATACAGTGGGCAAGAGAACCTTTCCAAGAACTTTGACTTTGGTTGCTCTTATCCTCCTCATGATAACGAGGCCCTTCCCGCACTTTGTGAATGAAGAAATTGGGATCTAGAGCTGGGAGTAAGACCCAGGTCTCCTCTGGCCCAACCCATTGCCCACCAAATTCTACCTTGCTTAATTAAGGAAATTAAACTTGAGCAATACACTTTTTAAATAAGTATTGTTCAGTCAACACAGGTTCATAACCTAGTCACTTCTGCTACCTCCTTGGTCCAAACCACTATCTCTTGCCTAGATTATTAGCAGTCACCTCCTAACTGATCTCCCTGCTTCTGCTCTTGACACCTCCAGAGTTTAGCCTTATCTCAGTCACCAGAGTGTTCCTCTTCCACTCAAAACCTTCCACTGACTTCCCTTTTTACTCAGAGTAAAATACAGTCTTTACCAGGGACTACAAAAGTCCCCTGAGATCCGGACCAGTAATACCTCTCTGAGGTATCTCCCTCCGCCTTCCCCCTCACTCATTCCAGCCCTGCTGGCCTTGCTTTCCTTGAACCACCAGAGATGCTTCCATCTTTGGTCCTTGTACCTGCTGTTCCCTCTGCCTGGAAGGCTGCCCCACACCTTTATGTTTCTCCCTCCTCCCCTTGAAGTCGTTGCTCAAGTATTACTTTGTCAGCAAAGGGATAATCCTATTTAAAATTGCCACCCACCAATCCCTAGTTTCCTTGTTTTCTTAGAACTTATGATCTGATATGTATTTGATTTATTTAATGCCTATTATTTCTACCAGAAGGTAAGCTTCATGAGAACAGAAATGTTTATCTCTTTATTCATTGGTTTATTTCCAGTACCTACTATAGTGCCTGTCACAAAATGAGCACATTAAATAAATATTGAATGAATAAAAGACTACTATTCCACTACGTAGACAGATACTTTTCTAGGTGTTGAACAAGACAGAATTCCCTGCCCTAATATACTTTGCTTCCTTTTTCTAGGAGGTTTAAGGGAATATGGGCATAGAGATATAATCTTCTTTAGAGCAGGGGTCTGTAAACCTACAGCCTCTGAGCCAAATTCCACCCACCTCTTCTTTTTGTACTGCCACGAGCTAAGAATGTTTCATACATTTTTAGATGGAGGGGGAATGAAAAGTATGTTTTGACACCAGGAAATAATAAATTCAAATTTCAGTGTCCATAAATAATTTTATTGGAAACAGCCATGCCTTGTCATTTAGTATTGTTTATGGTTGCTTTTCCACTATAAAGGCAGAGTGGAGTAGTTGCGACAGACTGTTTGGCCTGCAAAGCTTAAAACATGTACTATTTGGACTTTTTGTAGACCTAGGTGAATGAGAATTTTTAGCAACAGGTGAGACGCATTTGTTATATCTTGATTGGAATTGATTACTCAAACATTTTCAGCTCGTGAACAAAAGAGCCCTTCCACTTCCTGGGTTACAATGGTTTGGGCTCAAACTCCCTTTTTCTTCTGATAAATTTGCCAGGTTTCTTTCCCTTCATCCCCATTCCCATTCCCTCAATCCTTGTTAATTTATCACCCTGTCTGAGCTCATCTCTACTGGGATGGGGCGTAGGAGTGGCTGAAGTGGCACTGTCATCTAGGTTTAAGGAGGAAACCCAGTATGTGTGCCCAAGCTTCCCAAAGGTTGGTTTGAATGAGAAGCAAAGGAAAACAGCGGCTGGCCCACCCATGGTTGCTTGAAATCTAATTGAAAACCAGAGAGAAGCAGCTCTGGCCCAAGTTGTGCCTTTTCAGAAGACAAAGGAGCCAGGCTACAGGAGTCCAGAACTTGGGCAGTTTCCCTAAACTTAAGAAGATGGGGTGGGAAACATGAAATGAACCAAAACGTCTCAAAATGAGCCCAATTCCCCCTCTGGCTTAGTTTGGCAACCCTGTTATACCTAAAGTAGGAACTGCAGCTACAGAGGATGTTCTTGTGGGCATTGAACTCAAAGCCATTGACCTTGATGACCACGTCGCAGAGCTTGCCCTCTAGCCTAAGCTCATTGAAGATCTCACAGGTCATCGCACTCATCTTCCTCTCCATGTGAGGCTGGTGGAAACGTGAGGAGGCCGCCATGCTCTCCATGTCCATTGCACCCTGGGACCAGCCAAGAGAGAGGCTGTTCTCCTAGGGGTGTTGGGGAGGGTTGTGGGGGGCCCCTTTAGCCAGCTGTCGCTCCTTTTCCCTACTACATCTTTCATATAGGGCCCATCAGGCAGCCCAAGTTCCAGAATCCTCGGCCGGCAGTGAGATCACTCTCAGGATTGTGCTCTCAAGTTCTGGAACCTTCCTGTCCCTGTCCTCCCTCACCCCCTCCCCCACCACACTGTTGAGCTGAAGATCACCCCACACCTCCTCCTTTGTCCCTGTACCCAGAGCAGGACTGTGACCACCAACACCATGTAAGAGTTTTGATTAATTCTGGTTCCTGTTCCCACTTCAGTTGCCCAGTTCCATAGCATCCATCTACCTTCTACCATTGCTCCACCCTTGGCTCCTCAGACACCGAGTTCAAGGAAACCAAGTCAGAAGAGGCAGAAGGGAGAAGTCAAGCTAATTAGAATTTCATTCTGACCCAGCTGTCTAGGGCCTTCCTGCTCTCGGGACATGAGGTAGTCACTCATTTTCTTCTGATGAGGAGCGGTCTGTTAAGGAAGCACCATCCGGGTGTCACTTAATGGCTCGGTCACATCCCCTCCCAACCTGCGGCTGTTTTTGTCATGCCAACTGTAAGCCTGGAAATGCCGACACTTGCTAGGATTTTTGCTCTAGGAAAAGTGGCACTCAGTAACCACAACTCGTTGGGACCCTCACCCTCCTCAACACAGAGCCCTCAGCCACTGTCTTCCGCTAGCGCGCCGGTGTTCCCAGAGCGCCAGCCTCTCCGGGGCTCCCCTGCTGCCGGGGCCCGCGGCTCCCCCGCCTTCCCCGCGCCGTCCCTCTTGCCTCAGGCGGGGACGACGCAAGCGCAGTGCGGCCGCGGGGGGCGGTCTTTGTACCGGCATCGCCCAACCGGCTGCGAACACCATGGCGGAAGAGGTGAGGCGTATGGAAGCATCAGGAGTAGCGCGGTCCTCGATCCCCCAGGCGCTCCGAGACCCCCAGTGGGCCATCTCGGCCCGGCTGCGCCACACTGGCCAGTAGATGCTCCTGGCCCGGCCGGAGCCCCCGCTCCGTCCCCTGTGCCCCCGACCCGGCCTCTCAGGGTTGCCCGAGCGAGCCCCGGGCTGCCCTTGGGCTCAGCGGCGGTGCCAGAGTCAGCCGTTCTCTCGGGTTTTGGGACAGGTGAGCATCCTGAAGAAGGCCACGATCCGGATGCGGCAGCCCGGGCGGGTGCTGGAGATCGTAAGCGCCCTCCGCAGAGGCGGGGGAGACCGTTTACAGGTACTGCCGGGGCGAGGTGGGGCCGGCGGGTCGGGGGCGGCTGGGGCGGCGTCCTGCCCGTGTGCCTTCCCGCGTTGCTGCAGAGCCCTGCAAGGCCTCAGCCCCTAGAAATGGCCAGGGGCCGAGGGCGAGCAGGTTGGTTCGCCTGTTTTGCCTTGCTGGCCCACCTGCCCTACAACTTAGAATTCTCAGTAAGGTCTTTCTGCTTCCTCTAATTAGACAGAAAGCACCCACACCAGGCCCTGGAGCCTTATTCTCCAAACTAGCCCAGGTCAGCGGGCTCCCCAGGAAGTTGCAGATGTGGCGATGGGTCATAAAGGTGGAGGCACCCTAGGAAGCGCCCAGGACATTGAGATGGGGGTAGTGAAAAAAGACAGAGGAGTTCTGATTCTTCAGTTCCCATCCACAACCCCTCTAAGACGCCGGGCCTCCTCAGGGTTCGCCCGGTACTAACCAGGATTAGTTCTTCCTTCCCTCTTTAACCCTCCCTAATGCCCCCAGGGCTTTGCCAACAGACTGGGCACTGAGCTCTTTCACTTTCATAATTATCTCCCCAGCCTGACACAGGGCCACACCAGAAGGAGCCTATCTAGGCATCATCTCTGTTTTGCATTTTAGGTCATTTCTGATTTTGACATGACCTTGAGCAGGTTTGCATATAATGGAAAGCGATGCCCTTCTTCCTACAGTAAGTCACATACTAGTTTGCTTTGTTGGACTTGACAAGATGTCTACGGGGCCACTGAAAGGAGCTTTGTTTTTGCAGATATTCTGGATAACAGCAAGATCATCAGTGAGGAGTGCCGGAAAGAGGTAGGTTACTCCCTTTCTTTGCTCAGAAATGGCTATCATATATTACTTCAGTGGTTCTTGGTTAGCATCAAAGATTCCAGGATAGAGACGTTAGAAGATTATTATTTTTTTAATTTATTTTTACTCAGCTGAAGCAAGTCTTAATACACTGGGACGGCTTTTCCTTATTGGCTAAGACATATGATGATTGATGGTTAGAGTATGGATATTATGCTCACTGCTAGCTATAGAGTCTACAAGAGACTTCAGTGTTTGTTGTTTAACCTTCCCACAACTCCGAGAGGTGGACAGACCATTATTATCCCCATTTAACAGATGAGAAAACAGGTTTGGAGAGGTTGGGCAACTTACCCAAGGTCATACAGCCAAGATGCAGAATTTGGCTGTATTCTATCCCAGACTCTTTCCACTGCATTATGCTCTTTCCTTGATAATATAATTTTCTTGGTAAAGCAGCAGGTCTCAACAAAGACTTCTGAATTAATGTCAAAATACAATAACTCTCATTTTCATAAAATGCATACAAATATTGTGAAGTGATTCCTGTAGCCTTGGAGTTAATTTTATTTTGCTCCATGTACATCCTGTCAGTGTCCCCTTTGCCAGAGCAGAGCCACGCTAGCTGCGCATTTCTCTGCATGTTGCTGAGCTCTTGCTGCTGAATAACTACATCATTTAGTTCCACTTTGTTATGAAATTCACTAAATTGCATACTAAGTGGTCTGTTGGTCTGTCGCATTGGTCAGCTCTTCCAATACTCTGTCATGATTACTCGGTATTAATATGGGCAGTGGATTATAGATAGCTCTTATATTTCTAAAACCTGTCTCTCTGGGGATGCCACTTGCAGCTTAAGGTGGGTTCTGGCTCCACCACTGATTGCCTTTAGCAAGTCACTTCTTTGAGTTCCTCACATCCCTGATCTTATCAATTTCCAGGAAGCTGCGTCCACAAATAAGACAGTAGGTTTGATTGCCCTCTCTAGGATAAAGAAGCTAGAGAAAACTAAGGTTTTTGGTGTTGATGGGCTCCTGAAGAAATTAATCAAGCAAAGTTTATGTATAAAACCTTTAAAAAAAATTATTTTCTTCTATTGAGTTCTATTGTACTCTTAGAAAAATGTTCTTACACCCAAAAAAACCATACACATTGAGAACTTTCATACATTTCAGGAGCTTTCTTCCCTTGTCAGTGTGTAATCTTTGCACTTAACCCTGTTTTGGACTGATGGTCAGGGACTCCATTTGATCTTATAATATTCCAAGACCATACATATATTAAAGTTAAAATTCTTTATCCAGTCAATTCCCATTTTTATTGGGCACTGTTACTGACTGGCCCTGTGTGACACATAATCCCTCCCCAGAGGGTGGAAGGTTCTGGCATGTGGAAGGAAACCTTAGCCAGAGAAGGCACCTGTAGATGCCCGTGAAGTGGATCACCTGATGTTGGCAGTGTGGTGGAGGCATCCACTAATGTACTGCGTCCCAAACTATAGTTTTCTCGTTCCACTTCCATGATTTTGTGGGGTTTTTTTTGCCATATGTGTATATGACTTTTACTAAATATTTTTCTTTAAATTGACCTGCTTCTAAAAACCTGAATGTAATTTACAAAAAAGGAATAATCTTTGGGAAAGCATGAGTTTGATATGCTAGGTTTTTTTTTCTAATGACTCCACTAAATGAATCCTCTAAAACAAATGAACTACTAAAACAAAGTTTTTATCCATGTACCCCCTAAGGTTAGCTTGCCTACCCCTCGAGAAAGTGTGGGGACACACAACATTAAATCAGTTCTTACTCATTAAGCCCTGATAACTGACTGCGCTAGTAAATAACAACAACAAAATCCTAGTAACCCTCTTATCGGATAGCAAAAGCTCTTTATGTTGTTCCTTAGACCTCATTCCTGGGCGAGTGCAGTGGGATGGCCAGCTCTGTGGATCCAGTCACTCCCTTACATGAAGTGGAGTCTTCTCGGTGATTTTTTTTTTCTCCTCAGGCTAATCTGTAGGACTGTGCTGGGGAAAACTTGATAGACTAATGGCTTTTCTCTTCATTTGGATACCCCAGCTGAAAGCGCTCCTTCACCATTATTACCCAATTGAGATTGACCCACACCGGACCATCGAAGAGAAGTTACCCCATATGGTCAAATGGTAAGTGACGGTGGTGGTGAAAGCTCCTGGCCCTTGTGATGGACTGGTCTAGAAAGGGGCGTATGTCTCCCCTTTGATGAGATGACAGGCTTCCTTACCTTACTGGTTGCTTAACTGAATGCTACAGGCCTAGCTAGTAGAACAAATTGTCTAGACACACCCGGGACTACTTGTAGCTGCTGCTATAGTGGGGGCCCACCAAGAATCCCTGGAATGAGTTAGAAGCCCCTTGGTTTGGGAAAATAAGTGCTTTGGGGAGATATCCCTCCTACAGAAACCAATATCACTGGACAGAGCCCCCAGTTCTACAGAGAGTGGGGTCACAAAGGAAGGGATTCAGAAGAGCTTTGACTTTAGCAGGTAACTCACCCAGCTCTTGTCTCTCTGTTGTGTTGCTTTCTCACTATTTTTTTTTAGCTGAGCCACCCTGCCACCTGTTGGCAGCTCAGCGGCAGCTCAGCTCAGGCTGGGAATCGAACTGGCAACCCTTTTGCTCAGAGCTTGCACTCTTGAGGGAGCTGTTAACCAACTGAGCCACTCAGCCGGCCCTATTTCTTTTACGGACAGCCAGAGTCCTCCAAGAAATGGCTCTGTGGGAAAGGACGAGGCTTCCATTGGCAATACTTCCAGAGGGGACTTGGCCCTGAAAATGGAAAGATCCATTTACTTCCTTAGTGACTTGAATTTGGGGCTTTGTGGGGTGTCTGTTTCTAGGTGGACCAAAGCGCACGATTGCCTGTGTCAGCAGAAAATTCAGAAGTTTCAGATAGCCGAGGTGGTTAGAGAGTCCAATGCAATGCTTAGGTAAGTTGCTTGCTCTGGAAAACATTTGAAACTGGTTTGTGCACAAAAAAAGAAGCTGGGAAGGAGTACAGAGGAGTTCATTGCTACGGGAGTCAGAAGAGACAGCACCATGAGCACCTGAAGTGGGGAAGGTCTTGCTTTTCCTCTCTGGATATACGGAAGGGTTTTCTACCCTTGGGTGCTTCCTAGGAAGCAGCCTGCTAGTAGTGGATGTAGCATGAATGTGACCAGGGCTTCATCTCCAAGAATAAACGGCGCTAGTTAATTTTTCCCAATGGTAAAATGACTTTTGGGGTCTCCATGGCAACTGGTATTCTTTATCCGAATATGGGTGTTGATTGGCCTGGGACCCTTGATCATCAACAGGCTTCTCAGCGCAGCTCTCTCTGCTGGAGCGTTCTTTACTGGACGAGGGATGGGGAGCACATAGAGGAAGGCATGGGTGTCTGTCCTTAGGATTGTGTGTCCTAACTGGGGGAGAGAGGCTAGTTCATAAAAAACCAAGAGAGTAGAGATGTGCGCAGACTCAGTAAATGTTGGGGTGAGTTGGGGTGTTCCTCAGTCAACCTGTCCCAGAATAGCTGCCTGGCTGTGTTCTACAGTTGACCCTTGAACAACATGGGTTTGAACGTGCTGGTCTACTTATATGTGGATTTTTTTCAATAAATATACTGCTCGCCCTCCTCCAGATTTCACATCTGTGGATTCAGCCAACCGCAGATCGTAAACATTATTTTCAGTCTGGCGTTAGGAGTCCTCAGATGCAGAGGACAACTATATGCATTGTTCTATGCCATTTTATGCAAGGGACTTGAGCATCCTTGGATTTTGGTATCCATGGGGCTCTCGAAACCAGTCCCCCTTTGGATATTGAGGGACAACTGTAGTTAAATTTTTGGGGAGTCAAAAGTTATATGTGGATTTTTTACTGCTCAGCGTTGGCGCCCTTTACCCTTATTCAAGGGTCAACTGTAGTATGGAAACAATAAAAAAAAAAGTATGAGCCCATTCATAGGAAGTTCAAGGATAGGCAAAGCTAATCAGTGGTGAAACAAAGTCAAAGTAGGGGAGTGGCATTGACTGGGAAGGGGCATGAGGGAACCTTGACCTGGTTGGTAATTACATGGGTATATACGTATGTAAACGTGAATTGAGCTGAACACGTAAGGTTAGTACACTTTAACCATTTACTGCATGTATTTCATACCTCGACTTAAAATGTTGTTTTAAAAAAATCTAAAAATCATATAAGCCAAGTAGAAAGTAAAGAACAGTAGCAGAGGCCCTTTCCGAATCCATTCATGTCTTTTCAGGGAGGGATACAAGACGTTCTTCAACACCCTCGACCAAAACAACATTCCCCTTCTCATCTTTTCCGCGGGCATTGGTGATATCCTGGAAGAAATTATCCGACAGATGAAAGTATTCCACCCCAATATCCACATTGTGTCAAACTACATGGATTTTGACAAAGATGTGAGCCAGATCTCGTTTGGGCTGGGAATGGGCAAGGGGTGGGGACCACCAGCCAGGGCACTTCACCCTAAACATTAACCCTAACCTGGGGAGGAGAAGGAGGGGACGGAGGGGACGGCATGCTGGCTGCTTTGTCCTCTGGCAGTATTTATTTACTTATGCCAGCTAAAGAGAGTTACTTCTAACGGCCCCACTCTTTGGCATTTGGCCAACAGTTAGCTCCCTCCCCAGGGGTGACCCAGGCCCCATGTCTCTGTCATGAGTCATGTGCCATCCTAGGTGCTCAAGGGCTTGGGCTTTGGCTTGTTTTTCTAGAGCCAGAGGTGAGCTGCTCCAACTTACCCACGTACTATCTGCTTTCCCTTAAAACCAATGGCTGGAACCGCCATCCTTTTGGACTGTGGTTAGGACGTGACCCACGGCTGTGGCTTAGCACCCATGTGGCCTGAACAGTGCTTGTGTCACAGGCTTCATGTGACGTTTGATGGTCCCTGTTAGTTTACACCAGGTGTTCCAAACTTTGTAAAAGGCCAGGTAATAATATCCTAGGCTTTGTGGGCTATACGACCTCCGTTGCAACTACTCCACTCTCCTGTGCAGAAACGCAGCCATTGGCAAGATATAAACAAGGCGCATGGCTGTGTTCCAGTAAAACTTAATTTATAAAAATAGGCCAAGCCTGCTCCTAGTTTAGACTACAGTGAGGTTTGGGCGTTATCTGTGGCTTTCAGGATTTCCTTTCCTATGTGCCAGAGACAATGGGAAACTGGCGCCAGATGGGTCCCTATAGCCCTTCTGTCTGTCTCTCGTCTTGACTATTTAGGGCTTCCTTCAGGGATTCAAGGGCCAGCTCATACACACATACAACAAGAACAGCTCCGTGTTCGAGAACTCCGGCTACTTCCAGCAGCTTAAGGGCAGAACCAACATCATCCTGCTGGGAGACACCATGGGGGACCTCACGATGGCCGATGGGGTTCCGGGTGTGGAGAACATTCTCAAGATTGGCTTCCTAAATGACAAGGTAGGGAGGGGACCAGGGCTTCCTCCTTCGTGGCTTGCTTCTCCTTCAATTCCTGTTAACACATGCTTATCGAACACCTATGTGCTAGCCACTGCATTAAGTATGAGAGGTACAGAAGTAAGACACAAGCCATATTATTTTCCTAGGAAAACGAGATAGCCAGCGATTCACACTCTATGCTCACCACATGGCAGGTTACTGGAAATGCCAGGCCTTTCATTGGAGCCTACACTTGCCGCATGCTTACCATATGCCAGGGACATGAACCCATTTAATCCTTACAACAACCTTTTGAGTTAGTGACTGTTATACCATTTTACAGATGAGGAAACAGGTAAGGAGGTTAAGTAGCTTGCCCAAGGTGACATAGTTTAGGAAGTGGTGGGGCTGATTACCAGTCCTCCTACACCCCACCTATGAGGCGTGATTGAGATTGGAGATGTCAGTATTCAGGATGTGGGTTTATAATTCAGAGAAGAAACATACAAGAACAGACCAGGGGCCGACAAGTGAAAACAGTGTCATCTTGAGCCGGAAGGCCACCAGTCCTCACTCAGCCAGCCTGTGCCGAGGTCCCCCAGAGCACTTGAGCCTTGTGAAAATTCAGTCTAGATAGATTAGAGGTAACACCTGGTTTTTACACTTTAATCCTTGTTACTGTTCTTTTGACATTGACCCCAGGGTTAATTGTGGCTGCTGGTCCCCACTGCCATCTGCGTCTCCAAAGGGCAGGTCCCTATGACCTTGAACTCCTCTCGGGGAGCTACATCTTGAATGTGCTGCACCTGCGTACTGGAGCTGCACCTGCGGCTTGAGCCCCAGGTGCTTGAGAGGCAGAGGCAGTGGGCAGAGAGCAGGGCATTTTGAGGACTCAGCCTCCCCTCCCCCGGGCAGGTGGAGGAGCAGCGTGAGAGCTACATGGACGCCTATGACATTGTGCTGGAGAAGGACGAGACTCTGGACGTGGTCAACGGGCTGCTGAAGCACATCCTGCACCAGAGGGCCGGGTGGAGATCCACGGCTCCTGAACGCGCAGGCGTGGGGCCAGTCCCTGCAGGCCTTGACGGAGAGGGCGCCTCGCTGCGAGGCCGCCCTGCCGTGAGCCTGCTCTTCCTGGTGTGTGCAGAGGAAAGCCCAGGGCATCCAGAAGCTGCTGGATCCTCGCCCCTCCCTCCTCCTTTCCCTGTGTGTGTTCTCCAAGGCCTGTGGGAGCCCTGCCAGGTGGGAGGCAGCAAAAGCCATTCCAAGTGAACTGTGGACCTGTCGGGTGTTTGCATTCCAGAAATCATTTGGTCCAGGATTCCTTCTTTTAAACATTTTAAACATAGGAAGCTGTTCTTCAAACAAATTGAATGTGTAAAACATATCAAAATAAAAGGAAAAAACCGGAGCTGTTCTGATTTGGAGAGGGGAGCAGAGCCTGTACCCCTTGGCCCTGGAAGTGCAGGGATCTCCAAGAAGCCTCTAGGGCTCCATGGAACAGTTGGAAAACCTCCAGATTAGCCCCAAATACCCTCTGAGCACAGCCTAAATGTGTCTGTGGGGACCAGGCTGGGCAGGTGGGATGGGAAGGGTGTGTTTCTGACCTGGAATGGTTTGGCTGTATTCAGATACAGCCTTTAAACTTGAAATTCAGTTGGGTCTGGTCAGCCCTGTCTGCAGAGCCTCTTCTTTAGGTGTCCCCAAAGGGATCCATTTGGGTGTGGATTTTCCCTGGTGCCCTTGGCTTCTGTCCCTCTTGTGGGTCCAGGGTCACTAAAATGGTCGATTTAAGGGGGGCTGAGACCAGGGACCTGAAGGGAGCAGGTGCTCTGTGGCAAAGTAAAATAGAACTGGTTCATGTGCTATTATCTTGCATTATTGGGCTTTCTTTAACAGTTTCTTACCCTTTTCCCTGCTCCCTGTTAACTTGGGTGGTCAAGAACTAGCTGAATTCTGGGTTGGCCGAGTGGCTCGGTTGGTTAAGAGCTTGCTCAAGAGTGCAAGCTCTCAGTGGTTTGAGTCCCGGCCCGAGCTGAGCTGCCAACAGGTGGTAGGATGGCTCAGCTAAAAAAAAAACTAGCTGAATTCTCTAGGGTACCTTTGGAAGAAAAAATGTACACCAGTTCGCCTGGTGTTTTCTTAGCCTGTCCTCCCTCAGAGAAATTCAGTCCCTCGCCACTCGGCACACCTAGATGGCGTGCCATTTAATTCTCCCAGCAACCCCGCAGGTAGGTCTGGTGTCCAGATGGCTCAGAAAGGACCGGTAACTTGCCCGAACCCCATAGCAAGGAGCTAGAGCCAGGGTTTGAGTGTTTCTGACCAAAGCCGGGCCATGTCTGCCTGCATCATGCTGCCTGCACGTGGGTTTCCATTCGGGGCTGTTCTGTTAGGCTTGGGGGAGGGACTTACCATCTGAGACGGGATCTGTAGCCACTGTCAGACCCTGAGGTGACTTCAGAATGCTTTGGGACCAGAGAGTGTCAGTCACTGGCTGTGGGGAGACGTCACATCTCTCAGGAGATGCTGGGCAAGAAATCGGTGCTTGTGGGGGCAGTTGAGTGACCAGTTCCATCATTTTCTCTCCCAAACACCTCCTCTAACCCGTCCTCTGATGGTTTGGGTCATCGCCATCACACTGGCAGGGCAGGGCAAGGCAGATGGCCTGCCTGGTGGCTGAAGCAACTCTTCTCCCGGAGATTTGAACTCGGTCACCTTTCCTCTGACAAGAGGGTGGGTCCAGCAGGTGGTAATGGCCCGTGGCCAGGAGCAGGGAGAGGTGGGGATGTTGTATTGGAAATGATCTATGTGAGAGTGGAACCTGACCTGTGTGGGTTAATCCCTGAGATCTGCATGTTAACGTTTGAGGTTAACATTCACTTGGGACAGTTAGGAGACAAGGATCATCGCCTCACACCTCCCCTGAAGGCCCCTGTCCTCTGTGGTCACCCACTCCCCACCCGGCAGACTGGGGCTCCCCTTCCACGGTTAGGGCCCCTGGGTTAGGCCTCCGGGAGGCAGGAACCTCCAGAGGAAGACCAAGCTAGGGACAGTGACGAGATGCCGAGACAGCCAGCTTTCTTCCCCTCGCTTCCCAATCATTGGGTCAAAGGGCCTCCCTCCGAATGCAAGACCACGTCCTGAGGCCTCTGGTTTAGTCTTTTATTTGGCACAAAGGAAAAAGATTTGACACCAGTTTTGTCTTTTGAGAGTGCAGAGCTCCACCCACCCCTCTCACCCCTCAGTCCCCAGTGAGCCCTTCCATGTTTATCTCAGCCCCGAACCAAGGATTTCATTTCATAGCCTTACAATCCATCTAAGTAGGTTTCTTCACCCCCATCCTTTCATTTTCTTCCTCTTCCTCAATCCTGTAGGGAAGGCAGCCTTCTTTAGGGATGAAAGGTGACAGCCCAGCCCTGACCTGGAGCACCCCAGCAGCGAGTGGGGGTTGGGACAGGTGAATGGGACCAAATAGGTGAGCTAGGGCTGCCCTAGAGCAGCCCCCTTCCCTTGGAGCCAGCCAGAGCTGGGGCTGGTTATGCTCCCAGGGAGCTGCCATGACAGGAACGGGGGTTGGAGGTAGTGGGGAAGGGATGGTGAGGTAAAATACAAATAGAGGGGAAGTTTGGGGAAATAAATGATGAGCTTGCCCTTTCTCAGTGTCTGGTGACGTGGAGGTGTGGGTGAGGGGTTAGCAATGGCCCCATCCAACCCCAGACTCCACCAATCCCCAGACTGGCTTTGTGACTCTTGTAAGGAAGAGTTTGTAAGGAAGTGGTGTAGGGTTGAAAGAGAGAAACCGAGCAGAGGTCTGTGCTGTGGATTTTACTCTTGGGCTGGTGGGAAGACCAGAAATGTCTCCTCTAACCACTTTTAGGTGCTCTCAGACCTCATCCCAGCAGAGGGGAGAGTGACTGTTAGAAGTCAGCCTCACTGCCCACTGTCCCCCCAGAAGTGGGCCTTTGTGTTTGGGCCCAGGCCCTCAGAGCTCCTCATGGACCCGCTCCTGGTCCTCATCTGACTTCAGCTTGAGCTCCTCAACGGTGATCTTGCCATCCTGGTTGCGATCCTGGTTCTGGAACATGTCCCCTATGGTTTTCTCCGGGTCCTGCCCCGGCATGAGGCGTCCTTTGCCCTCACTAACTTGGGACTTGATAAAGGTGGAGAACTGGGGACGAGGAGAGCAAAGGGGAGGGTGGGTGTGAGGGTCTTGCTTGAGCAGCTGTGGGTGGCTTTGGCAAGGGCCCCCGGGGGAGGCTAGCCAGTGAGGACTGAGAGGAGCGGGTGCTGGGGTCCTGAGCAGGGCCAGGGCAGCGGTATGGGGAAAGGGCTGCATGTGTGCTGGGAGAGAAGGCGGGGACAACGGACCTAAGGCAAAGTGACCGGCACGGGGGCAGGAACATGGCGCAGACAGGATGGACAGGCACCACGTTCTTGCTAAATGCCACCATGCAAGGTGGTTTCTGCTGGGTTGAGAGCGCGGGAATGGTTATTTTACGGATTGAACTCCTCACCCACCTCCTCTGGGGGGACCTCGCCATCCTTGTTGAGGTCCAGGTCTTCAAAAAGGTTGGCAGGAGGGTCCTCATGCCATACAAACAGGTAGCCTTCAGGCACCCCTTCCTCCCGCGATACCAGCTCCACCTCAAACATCAGCACAGCACTGCCAGGGACCCCCCGGGCTGGAAGGAGGGAGGGGAGAAGGAAAGAGCCCCAGTCAGGCCAGGACCTGGGCCTGGCTTTGCAGCCTGCCTGGTGTGCTCCCCAGCCTGCAAGCCTGTTTCTACTCTTGGGGGCTGGAGAATGGGGCATGGGATGTTTACACAACCATCCAGAAGGGGCAAACGGAGATCAGACCAGTGTCTGCCCCTCACCTCCACTTTCCCCGTGTGCCAAGTGTGGGGGCACCACAAGCTGCCGCCTCTCTCCCACACACATGCCCTGCAGGCCCTTGTCCAGGCCTTCGATCACCTTGTTAGCCCCCAGAGTTGCCTCCTGGGGGGCCCCGTAGTCATGCCTGGGGGAAAAGCAGATTCCCGGTCAGTGCCCTTCCTTGTTCTTGCCAGTTCACATTCCATTGTCCTTCCAACCCCATTCCAGAGTCAGTCTTCCTGGTGCCCACCCCACACAGCAGAATGCAGGGCTCAATGGCTCAGAGATGGGATACCCTTCTCATTTTCCCAATGCCCCGAAAGCGTGGCCTTGAGGGCCCACCTCTCCCTGCTTCACTCCCCGCCCCTGCCCCCCATAAAATGGACTAGCTAGCTTCACCCTCCCTTTCCCTTTCTGCTCCTTATGCTCCCCATAGATGGAAACTTATGGAGAAAGTGGGGTGCTATGAGGAGGACTCCCCTTGCCTGAGCCCACCCACCTGCCCAGCCCTGGCCCTGCCCCTGACGCACGAGGAGAAGAGCTTGGTGCCATCTAGCAGAGAGCAGTTATAGTGGTAGCGAACAAAGTCCCCAGATTTGGTGGTCTTGTTGCAGGTCTCGGGGGGCCGGGACAGTGTCTTGATCTCCACGGGATCCGCAGGGTTGTGGAAGTCGATGACATGGACATCGAAGACCAGCACAGCTGAGCCAGGGATCTTGTCTCCTGGGACCAGAATGGTGGAGCAGATTAGCCTGGAGTCTAGTAGGGGCTGTTCAAGGTTTCCATGAAACCGCCCTGGGGTTTCAAACAAGGATGGGATAGGATGGGATGTTTGTCCATATAATCAATTCTTCTGGGGGCGGGGAGGGGCCTGCCAGTTAGAAAGCCCTTTACATACACAGTCTTGCAACCTCCCAGTGACTTACCCTGCTGAGCAGTGTGAAATGTCCCATTTTATAGGTGAGGACACTGAGGCTTCCAGCAAAGCTGGGTCTCAAATCCAGGTCTCTGCTTCCTAGGGCTATGCTGTTTCTGTTCTTCCATAACCATCCCCCTCCCCAAACTCAGGAGTCCTTCTCCAAGATGGAAGGGGAGAAGTGGGGGGACTGCCCTGGAGAAAAGGATGGAGTCTGTGTGGCAGGAATTGGGTGGGGGACTAGTTTTCGTGATTTTGTGATGGGAGGGGCAGAGCCGGGGAAGGTCAGCGAGTGGTTCAGGAGGGGACTGAGGTACAACAGGCCTACCGGTCCCGTTCTCCCCGTAGGCCAGGTGCGGGGGGATGGTGATCCTCCGGCGCTCCCCCACGCAGGAGCCTTGCAGCCCCTGGTCCATCCCGGGGATGATGTAACCCTGCCCCACGTAGGTATTGTACGTGTGGTTGCGGGAGTAGCTGCAATACAAGATGGAAGGGCCAGCAAGGGAGTCAGATGGGTCCCTGCCCAAGCAGGCAGCTCAGAGCCACCCCCAGCCACTGCCTGGGTGACCCCAGTATCTGGTACTTTCCTTCCTGCCTCAGTTTCTTGCCTTCCCCCTCCTTCCTCAGGACCCCGCTGACCTGGAATCGAAGATGGTGCCATCCATCAGGGAGCCGTTGTAGTGGTAACGCATGAAGTCCCCAGCCATGGCTCTCCGGTCACAGCCGGGTGGTAGCTCCAGCGTCTCCAGCTGGACAGTGTCCTTCGGGTTGTGGATGTCAATCAGTAGGACCTGGAAGACCAGGGAGGCCTGCGGGGGGATCACAGTCCCTGGGGAAGGGATAGGCTTGTACCATACAGGTGGAGAGCAAACCAGGGTTCCTGCTCGACTCAGGAAGGCCAGTGTGAACGCCCTGCAAAAAGGTGCTAGCCCTGCTCTCCACAGCCCTGCCCTTGCCCTCAGCAGTCCTATGTCTTGCTCCTCCAGTGAGGCCTGAGCTGGGTTCCCCCCGGACCACCCCCACCCCCATACTGAACCTTCGTGTGCATCGGAATAAAGCACCCCTTCTTCTTGGTGAGATGATCACCAAGGGCTGGATTTCATCCCTACTTGCCTCCTTGGCTGGGTGCCCTTGTGCAGTACACATCCTGAATAACTGTACGGGGCAGCCCACTTCTGGAGAACCCCCCCCCCGTGTCCCTGCCTGCCCTCACCATAGCCTTTCTCGCCATAGGCCAGGAATGGAGGGATGATGATCTTCCTTCTCTCTCCAGGACACATGCCCAGCAGCCCCTGATCCATGCCCTTGATCAGCCAGCCTGAGCCGACATAGGTGTCATAAGTGCCGCCCCTACTGTAGCTGTAGAGAATGAGGTAGGGGTAGTGTTGCTGGAGGAGGGAGAGCAGGATGGGCCCTGGACTCCCCCCATGCCAGTCCCCAGCACCCCAGGGCTCCCTCCAGCCCTTACCTGGTGTCGAAGGCGGTGCCATCCAGCAGTGTGCCGTTGTAGTGGTAGCGGACAAAGTCGCTGTCCTGGACCATTCGGGGGCAATGGGGCGGGCGCAGCAAGGTGCTCACCTGCACGGTGTCTTCCTTGTTCCACACATCCAGCAGGACCACGTCGAAGTAGAGGGTGGCATCCGGGGGAATGAGCCCCGCTGTGAGGGCCGGGCAGGGGGAGCTCATGTTCTGTGTAGCCCCCGGGGTGGGGGGTGGAGTGGAGAGCTGAGTGTCCTCTTGGACTCCCCCCTCCACCACCTCTAGTTCCCATTCTTCCTAGTGGAGGTATGATCCCACCCAGGGTCCTGTTATTTCCCTTCCTCCCACTCCAGGGCGGGAGACAGAAACTCTAGTCCCAGACCTGCCAGTATTCATACTGCATACGCAGTCGGCCTTGGGCAAGTCACTCTCCATCTCCGAGCTTCCGTTTTCTGGCCCTAGGGTCCTTGATTCTGTCTCCTCGCCTCCTTCATCCCCATGCCTGTGCCCCAGCCCTTCTCACCCACACCGATGCTGCCGTAGCCTAGGTGGGGGGGCACAATGAGGCGTCGCCGCTCGTTGACACACATGCCCATCAGGCCCCGGTCCATGCCAGTGATAAGGCGCCCCACGCCCACCACGATCGCCACCAAAGTGCTGCGGTCATAGCTGGGGGGCAGAGGGGACAGGGGGGATACAGTGGACTCCGAGGTGTGCACAGGTGAGGGTGCACACAGCCAGATGTTTCCCTCTGCCCATGGTCACATACGTGCACAGGTGTTACACACACACACATACACACAACCCATGCACAGGTGTAGAACCACAGGCTTCTCACAGCCCTCCGAGGTCAGAGGTCACTTGTGACCCCCAACTTAAGAGTCTGGGCTTTTATTTTATTTATTTTATTTTTTTAGCTGAACCATCCTGCCACCTGTTGGCAGCTCAGCGGCAACTCAGCTCGGGCCGGGCATCGAACCGTTGTTGCTCAGAGCTCACACTCTTGAGCGAGCTCTTAACCAACTGAGCCACTCAGCTGGCCAGAGGCTGGGCTTTTACAAAAAGGAAGTCGGCAAAGAGCCTAAGGGCTTTTATTCCCCTGGGATAGGGGGTGGGTGCAGGCCTGTCTGCTGCTTCTATCTGCTGACAGCAAAGCACTGAGAAGAGGAACAAGTAGTGGGCACTTAGAATATGCCGATTAAATGCTTGGCATTTTACACGCATGGTTTTATTTAATTCTCTCTCCCCTGTGAAGTCGGCATCATTGTTTTCATTTTTCTTGTGAGAAAAATTGAGACTTGTGAGACTAAGGGACTTGCCCAAGGTCACAGCTAGTATGTGTCTGCGGAACGCCAAAGCCCATGTGTGTGCCTCTGTAGCATCTATTCGCCAAGGAGGAAAGGAAGGGGAAGCAGAGCGGGCGGAGGGATAGGGATTGGTTTTCAATTCTGAAAGAGCCTATTCTCAAATTGCCATGGCTTTTATTTGTTTTTAGTTACAGTTTTAATTTAAGCTTTCAGAAGTTAAGGGAGGCTGGGAGGTTTTTATTTTGACCGAAGGGGCCATGGATTGTGAAAGTTTTCCGGGCTCAGCACTGCATGAACTGGGCCCAGCCAGAGTCCCCAGTAGGAAACTCACCCCTCAACTCCCACCCTCTCCCCCACTCCTGGCAGTCAGGGCTCAGGGCTGTACTTACTCCAGGCTTCTGCCTACACCTCATTTTGCTCACTGAACTGGTTTTATGACCGGCCGGCTCCCTTCCCAGTGCTGCTGTGAGGGCCCAACCACCAGTTAAACACTATGGGGGGGGGGGGCATCCAGTCCTCCCAGAGTCAGAGCTAAGCGATTTGAACCCACTTCTTAGTCTCTATTTTAGGGAAAGTGGAGCTTAAAGAGGCAGAATTTCTTGTCCATGGTCACAGCCTGGATTTGAACCCAGGGTTTTGGACTCTGGAGTTCCGTGTTGTTAGCAAATATACTGCCTGCCCATGGCCACTGATTTCCCGTGGACCAAGCTGTGCGTTTGGGGAAAGGGTCTAAGAAGGACTGATTTCTTGGGGGTTCATGTGTGTCACCGGGACCCATGGTTTAACCGGCGCTGACAAGCAGCACTGCTCTGCCCCCACCAACCAAAGTGGACTTGTCAGAAGCCGGTCTCTCAAACCCCAGGCTGGCAAGATGGGCGGCAGCCCTGGCCTGGTAGCGCTAAGATGGAGGGAGGTGGGGGTGCAGGGAGATCCAGGGAGGGGGGTATGAAAATCCTCTGAGGAGCCCATGGCAGCATGTGACACGTGGACAGACAGGGTACCTACACGGAGCTTTGCCCTATGCTCCCAGATACATCCTATTGTCTTATAATGCCTGCTGCTTAGGCCTGCTGCTGGTAATCCCCACAGTCTCCAAAATACAGTTTTACTCCCTCGTCTCTAACCTGGGGTTGGAACCTGAAGGGAATCGGGTGGGTGGGAATGTAGGGGGTCCCAGGCTTAGACCACTGGAGGATTCACTTGCAGCAGAGAGACCATGTTCTTCCCCCAACACTGGACCAGAACTCCCCCCTCCCCCCACCCCTTCGATTATCACACTTTGGGGAATGTGGGGAGCTTGTGTGAAAGAAATTGGGGTCTTTAGAGAGGCAAAGGTTTGAAAATGAGAGCAGAGGATTTATCTTTGGGGAGATGGATGTCTGGGCTGCCCCCCCCCCACCCAAGGTGCTGTGTTTGGAGTTAGGGGATCATGGAGTACCAGAATGCAGACACAGTTTTAAAGGGCAACAAGGGAACCCAGGCCCTAAGACCGCTTGACCTGGGCTCGGGGAAGGGGAGTGGTGAGTCTGGGGCCACCCAACCCATTACCTCGAGTCAAACTTCTTGCCATCCTCAAAAGTGCCGTTGTAGTGATAGCGCACAAAATCCCCCATCTGCACTTCCCTGGGACAGGCCCGGGGGATATGGTACCTCTCGATGACCACGTCTTCCAGGGGGCCCCCGGCCGGGCTGGCGCGGCCCTGCCCCCTCCCCACGGCCTGTACGAGCAGCAACAATATCTGCAGCAGCGGAGCCCGGAGGAGGGTGTGGCTGGGGAGCCCCGTGCGGAACATGGTGCCTGCAGCTGGGACGGCCGGCAGTGAGGGCAAGAGAGAGAGTCGCGGCCGCCAACCTCCTTCCCCCTCTTCCCAGAGTTGGCTCCCCCTCTTCCTGTCCTCCTTCCCCACCCCCGCCCTGGCTGGTCCACGTGGAATGGGGGCTGGGGAGACTGAGCCGATGGGGCAGGGAGGGCGGGGTGGGGTGGGGGGGGTTGCAATCGGAGGAGGGGGCCAGGCTGAGAGTGTAAAGAGACAGAGGAATGCTCCACAAAGAACTCCAGATTCCACCCTCTTCCCCCACCAAGGGTTGAGAGACCTGGGGCCTAGCGTGGAGGGAGGCTCGCGAAAGATGAGAAGTCGGAGCTGACTCCCAAGTGGAAAAAAAAAAAAAAGTTCAGTGTCTTTTTTTCGGGAGCCCCGGGGTCCTAAAGCCGCGCTGTGGCATCCCTTGCTCCTTTTACTGACATCCCCAAATCTAAGGCCTCTGCAGGAAGCTGGCGAGGCTCCAGAAAATGAGGGTATCTTAGTGCTCCCCCACCCCTACTGTCCGAAAGATGGCCTCTCCAGGGACGAGGAGCTGCTTTGTCCTGCAAAACCTGGACTGCCAAAAGAACTTTCTGACGTGGGATCGAGTAGAAGGTGGTGAGAGTGGAGGGTGTGCAGGGTAAAACCAGCCTGTGCGCCCCCCTGTCGCGGGCTGGGGGAACACCTAGAGTGACCCCTTCAGGGCTGGGGGTGGGGCGTGTGCAGAAGGGGCGCTGTGCTGGACAGAAGACCAGTTTCCAGGGCTTGAGCAGAGCAGATGGAGGTGGTACCTCCCTCAGTTTCTCAATCAAGTTGGGGGGACTATCTTTGTGTGGGACAGGGCTTTCTGGGCTCCCCATCCTTGCGGTAAGCGTTTCCCCCGTCACCGTCTGTGGAGGGGAGGACCCCTACGGACAGGCCAACGTCGGGGACTCAGTACGCACTCCTCTGCCCCTCCGGAGACGTGACCTAGGACACCACCCTCTTGGTGGGCGCGGCACTAAGACCCAGCGGGCACGCGGTCCCGGCCCCGGCCCCTGCCCCGCCCGCCGGCGGACGGGGTCGGGACGCAAGCTCCGCTCGGTGAGCTGGCTGGCGCGTTGAGGGTATGGGGCGGGCGGCTCGGGAGCTGCTGTGGGTGCTGCTGTGGGTGCTGCTGGGCTGCACCGGGGCGCAGTACGAGAAGTACAGCTTCCGGGGCTTCCCGCCCGAGGACCTGATGCCGCTGGCCGCGGCCTACGGGCACGCACTGGAGCAGTACGAGGGCGAGGGCTGGCGCGAGAGCGCGCGCTACCTGGAGGCGGCGCTGCGGCTGCACCGGCTTCTGCGGGACAGCGAGGCCTTCTGCCACGCCAACTGCAGCGGGCCCACGCCGCCCACCGCCTCGGCTCCCGGGTCTGTGCCCGGCCCTGATGGCGGTAGCAGCGACGACTGGGCCCGCGAGCTGCGGCTCTTCGGCCACGTCCTGGAGCGCGCCGCCTGTCTGCGGCGGTGCAAGCGGACGCTGCCCGCCTTCCAGGTGCCCTACCCACCGCGCCAGCTGCTGCGCGACTTTCAGAGCCGCCTGCCCTACCAGTACCTGCACTACGCACAGTTCAAGGTGGGCGCCTGTCCCCAGATCTCCCGCCCGCCCCGGTGTCCCCCGCCTGTCCCCGGGCCCTGTTCGGTCTCGTCGCTCCCAGCTAGGGTAGGGTTTCCCGTCGGGTCCGGAGGAGCATTGCTGTCATCGAGCCCCAAGCCCGCCCGTGCGCTCAGGGCCGCGAGGTCTAGCCCTGCTGACCTGCTCTGCCCCCACCCCACAGGCTAACCGGCTGGAGAAGGCGTTGGCTGCGGCCTACACCTTCCTCCAGAAAAACCCGAAGCACGAGCTAACCACCAAGTATCTCAACTACTACCGCGGGCTGCTGGACGCGGCCGAGGAGCCCCTCACAGACTTGGAGGCGCAGCCCTACGAGGTGGGGTACAGGGGAAGAGCTGGCCCTGACCCCCCCCCATAGGACTTGTAGAGAAGGGGAGTGTTGGGGGTTCCCCTGACCCCCGCCACACTCCCCTGCAGGCGGTGTTCCTCCGGGCGGTGAAGCTCTACAACAGTGGGGATTTCCGCAGCAGCACAGAGGACATGGAGCGGGCCCTGGCCGAATACCTGGCCATCTTTGCCCGCTGTCTGGCTGGCTGCGAGGGAGCCCACGAGCAGGTGGACTTCAAGGACTTCTACCCCGCCATAGCAGGTACCCCCACCCAAACCCATTAGATATCCTTCCCAACCGTCACTGGGCCCTGCTTCCCAGAACTCCTCAGACCCCTTAACACGTTTATGAAGCACTTACTAAGTGCTTGAGAGGCAGTCAGGAGTTAGGTGTTACCCTGTTCCCAGGAGCGTGTTGTTGGCTGAGAGAGAGACAGGGTAACAGAGCCCCTGCCCCTGGGTGTAGAGGGCTGTAGGCAGGAGTGTCCAAGGTGCTTGGAATCAGTGAAGAGAGGCAGTGACATCCCAAAATGGTCTGGGAGGTGGGGTTCACAGGCTTTCCAGGCAGAGGTCAATGTGGGTGCAAAGGTGCCCAACTGAAGGGGGAAACAGCCCGGCAGCTATGTGCCCAAAGCAGTTTGTGACCAGAAATCCCACCTAGCTGCAGGGATCCCACAGTGGTGGGGGAGAAAGGGCTGTCCTGAGCTTCTCTAGCTGAGCATTCTAACTTCACCTGCCACTCTCTCAGAGAGCCCTAGCTCCCTCTGGCTCGGGGTGGGGGTGAGCTGTGGGTGGTAAATCAGCCCTGTCCACAAAAGTCTTTGTCAGGATTACTTACCCTACCCATGTTATCTCATGTGATTGCAACAGGCTGTTCAGGCAGAGCTGGGATTGGAAGTCAACTCTGTCACCCCACCCGTGGGACGGAGCTGTTCAGCACACCATCAGCTCCTCACCACTGCTTCCCACCCCCCCAGATCTCTTTGCAGAATCCCTGCAGTGCAAGGTGGACTGTGAGGCCAACTTGACCCCCAACGTGGGTGGCTACTTCGTGGAGAAGTTCGTGGCCACCATGTATCACTACCTGCAGTTTGCCTACTACAAGTGTGAGCCTCCCAGTGGGCTTGGGTGTTAGAGAGCACTGCACTGGGAGCACTGCAAAGTCATGGGGAAGCTATCCCTCAGAAATGAGGCCCTTAGGCCATGGGAGGGAAGGCTGGGGGTGGTGGGGCCAGTAAGGCTTATGGGAGGGAACAGAGAGCAGCCTCAGGGGAGGATTTGAGGGCCTCTTGGGTAAATGACTAGATAGCCAACAACTGCACAGCACTTGACAGTTTACAAAGCCCTGCTACATCTGTTTATCTCACTTGATCTTCTCACCAATGCCCTGCAGCTGCCATTACTGGACCCATTTTTCAGATGAGGAAACCAAGGCTTACCGAGGGCAAGGGGGCACATGGCTAGTAAAAAGCAGCACCAGGACTTAAGGCTGTCCTCCCTTGAGGGAGATCCTGGTGTCCGCAGGGGCTGAGATGGACAATCTTCAGGGCTTCTGCAATGCAGAGGTGCCAAGATTCAAGTAGAGGCTGGAGTTGGAATGGAGGACTGAGGACCAAGAGGCCAGGAGACCCTTCATGGGTCCAGTTGGCAAAGAGGTCGAGGGCTGGGCCACTGGCCTCTAATTCCCCAGTGCTGTCATTCTCCAGCTATGTGAACGTGAGCAGTTTACCTGACCTCTCCCTGCCTTGAATTTCTTGTCTGTAAAATGGGGATGACAATAACGGTGAGTCTTAAATGAGTTACACAGGGCCTGGCACACAGTAAGCGCCCAATACATCCTAGCTTGCATTATTCGTGGGTGGGGTGAATACCCAACAGGAATTCTCGGACGTGGCTAGGGAGGCAGGGGTGCTGGACTGAATGGGGCAATGGGTAGTTGAGGTGAGGGTCATCCCTGAAGGTGGGGAAGTGTCAGGGCTACTCTCCACTCTTCTGTCTACAGTGAATGACGTGCGCCAGGCAGCCCGCAGTGCTGCCAGCTACATGCTCTTCGACCCCGAGGACAATGTCATGCAGCAGAACCTGGTGTATTACCGCTTCCACCGGGCTCGCTGGGGCCTGGAGGAGGAGGACTTCCAGCCCCGGGAGGTGGGCATCACCTTCTGAGGCACTCTCAGGACCATGTGGTTTGATTAAAAAAAAAAAAAAAATCCTGGCTTCCCTGGAAAGCAGGATGGGGAAGTGAAAGGAAAGCATATGGGTGTGGGTTGGAGTCCTGGGTTCAAACCCAGCCCCAGCAGCTGTGTGGTCCTGGGAACACTGCTGACTCTTTCTGAACCTGTTGCCTCACCTGCAAAAGGGAGGTGGCAATACCTGCCTTGCCAGCACAGTGCCTGGATGTGGGAGGTACAAAAATGCCTGTCCATGCCTGTCTGCTCCCCACCCTCATCATCCTCACTGCTGGCCTTTGCTCTTCTTCCCCAGGAACCCCAACCCCCAACCTGGAACAACTGAGAAACTCCTTGGGAGTCAAGGGCAAAACTGGCAAATATAGGGCACGTGGTAGCCCCATTCTCTTGTCAGTGGCAGACATTTGAGGCACTCTTTCTCACTGAGCCCTTAGAATCCTTCTTAATCCAGCACTCTAAGCAGCTACAATTTTTCGATCAACATGTGAGCTGATACCTGCTCTAGGCTCCTTGAAGCTTGAAAAGGGCCAGAGGACCCAGATCCTAGGCGCTCTGGCTCCTCTACCATCTGGCAGCAGGGTCCAGCTCACCTCGCTTTTCCTCTTTCCTCCCAGGAGGCCTTGCTCTACCATAACCAGACGGCTGAGCTACGGGAGCTGCTGGAGTTTGCACACATGTACCTGCAGTCAGATGATGAGGTAAATGGCCCCTGCCCTCCAGGGCTGGGTGGTGATGGAAACCCCTTGGTCCTCGTCCTGCGGCCACTGTGCCAAAGCTCAGCCCAGCCCCCAGCAGTCAGCTGCCGTGAAGCAGGAGAGACTCACCTGACCCTTACTTATACCTGCCTTCTCTCCCTGCTCAGTGTTCTCATGCCCCCCTTCTCTACATGTCTGAATATTGCTTCTCCTGGCCCAGCTCAGGTGGTATCTCCTCCAAGAAGTCCTTGCTGCATGTCCTAGCTCTGTCTTCTGGGCTTACCATGCCAATTCGGACCCTCCGTGCCTCCCTGGACCTGCACTTATTTGCAGCCCTGGTCCATGTCACCCTCAGCCTCCTTCTCTATCCAGTCTCCTAAAGGGTTATGCTTCAGGACAGGGGACCAGGTTATTCCTAGCTCTCCCACAGTCCCTGGCACAGAGCTGGTGCTCAGAAACTGAGTTTGAATGAACCAGCGAATAAATGAATGCATGACGCCAGGAAGGAAGGACCACAGGGTGATACATTGATTCTGAATGAGACTTTGAGAGCCTGAATTCTCTGAGGCATCACTGCTCAGTGCTTATTTATCCACTCCCTCCTTTGTTCAAGTACCCATGTTCCCCTGATCGAACATGGGGGCCAGGCCTGCACTCTTAGGTTGGTGCTAGCCAGACTTGGCTCCACCACTTCCTAACTGCACGGCCTCCAGGCAAGTCTTAGGTAACCCCTCAGGCTTCCATTTCTTCATCCATTGAGTGGGGGAAATCATGACCATCTCACACCCTGTGGTGAAAATTAAATGAGATCAAGTATGTAAAGCACTTAGTAAAAGAGCTGGCACATAGTAGGTGCTTAGCTAGTGGTAGCGATTTTGATTACTATTATGTGTTGCCTGCTGTTTGCCATCATGTTTGGTGCAGGGGTAAATTGAGAGGCACAGTCCCTTCCCTAATCAGCTCACAGCAGGGGAGGCACAAACTTCCTCTGTGTGGGAGAGGTCAGAGGAAGAATCCAGACCCAGTTGTTTGTCAGCAAGGGCCACACCCTGGAGCTGATGCCTGGCATTGGGGGAATAAACCAGAGCTCTCCCAAGGATGAGGAAGTAAAGGCATTCCTGGCTGGGAATAGCAGACAGTATGCACAGACTAGCAGTATTCTCCCAGGAGTATTTATGCTTTAAAGGTAGGCTATGGAGAGGGTGATGCTTATGCTAATACTGCATCTCTGCTGGTGGAGCCCCATGCACCGGTTCAGAGAAGGGGCAGCTTGGGAATAGGACTTAGTGGGAGAAACCCTCACATCATACCTGAGATGGGATGGGAGGGCCCCTTGGCCAGGAAGGGAGCAGATCCTGGGTTTGTGCCTTCTGTAACCTGGTTTTTCCCCCAACCCTGGGGCTGCTCTAGATGGAGCTGGAGGAGACAGAACCACCCCTGAAGGCCAAGGATCACCCATCAGATGCTGAATTTGAAGGGCAGGGTGACTATGAGGAGGGCATTTACGCTGACTGGTGGCAGGAGCCAGACGCCAAGGGTGATGAGGCTGAGGCTGGTCAGTGACTTGAGTCCTGGTGGAGGGGTGGGGATGCAGCCTGGGATGGAGGTTGGGGACAGAAGGATTCAGGCACTGGGCTTCAGAGGCAGGGGCATATGTATGTTGGGTGCTGGGACCCCTCCTCTGGGGGCTTCCAGCCTATTGGCAACCCCTGTAGCAATTGATGGGGGGTGGTATCCTTCCTGGGAACAGGGGCCAGCTGAGACAAATTGGGAATAGGTGGGGGGCTAACCCCAATGCTCTTTCCTTTCCTTTGCAGAGCCAGAGCCTGCACTAGCATGAAAAGAGGGCCACCCTGCACCCCTCAAGGGCTTGGGAAACCTGGGCCCAATGGCACCACCTTCACCAGCCTGGGCAGCAGCAGGAACTATTTATTAAACATATAAGATGGACATAGCTGCCCAGGCCCCATCCCATCCCACCTGTGAGTGCTGCTCTCCAGACCCCGCCTGCTTCCTCGATGGGTCTCTGGACCATGGGTGGTGCTACGGCCGCTGACGACCGTCCTCCCCAGTGCTCACCCCACCTGGACAGTCGTCTGGAGAACATTCCAGCTCCTCCTAGTTGGGGTCTCCGCCTGAATTGTAGAGACAGAAGAGGGGCAGCTGGCATCATGAGAGCCCTGGACCAGGAGTCCATTGGTTCTTGGCACACTGGCCGTGGGTGCTCAATAAATGTTTCTTGTTGAATGAATCACAGCGCCTGGGGTCCAGCCTCCCCTGGGCTGAGGAGTGAAGGTGCAGGTCCTTCCCTCCCTCTGCACCCATCTCCCCTTATCTATAAATGCCAGGGTGGTGAAAGGGGCACAGTCTGGCCTTTGGGGACCCTGGGTGTTTGTGAGAGAGGAGCAGCAGCGTGTCGTTGCCATCCGCCACCAGGGGGCGTGAGGACGCAGTTCCCGCTTCGAGTCCTGGGAAGACGGTGGTTTCAGATTTCTATATTGGGATGTCCTGTATTTTCCTAGTTTAGCATTGCTTCCCTCGGGGAGTGTGGCGAGTGAGAGGAGGGGGCCAAGGACATTTACTTTCCGGTTTTTACTTTCCAGGCACTGACTGCCCCGGGTCCCTTAGAGTCAGAGCACACATGCCCTGCCCTGCTCCTGCTCACTCTGCCCATTCTCCATTCCACAGCCGAGATTGGGGCCCCATCTCAGCAGCAGAGGAGCCCTAGGGAAAAGGTTTGATCCCGCAAGACTTTCGTGGTGGCAGTGGGACTGCCAGACTGTCTTGCCCAATCTTGCATTGGATCCAGAGGGCAGAGAGTCTGGAGATGTGGGAGTGAGAGTGGTGCCAGGTAACTACCACTCAGCCCTGTGACTCACCAATGTCCCCACCATATTTCACAGTGGGGAGGTGGGGGCAAAAATGTCCTCTCTGGGGAAGGATTCTGGGCTAGGACCCAACAGGTGACAGTTGTGCCCCACTCCCCACCTTTCGGGCCTCCCAGGGGCAGGGTGGTGGAAGAGATACTTCCCTCCTACTGGAGGGTGGAGCTAAAGCTGGGAAACCTATTTAGTTCTCACCTCCCACACCCTTATTTCCCCCCAGATGTACTAGGTTATTTGGTCTGGGCCCGCCCTGGAGGACTCCCTTTCCTTCCCCACCCCAAACCTCTTTCCTGGGCTTTCGGGTGATGAGGGTGGGAAGGCCAGAGTCTAAGTCTGGAGCTCAGGTGAGTGGGGTCAAGGCTGGGAGCACAGGTGACCTCACTCCTCCCTCCCTCCCATAGGTGGGTCTGCAGTGGTAGCGTCTCCTGAGAGCTCCCAGGTGGGGGGGGGGGCAGGCCCCACCCCACCCCTTTCAAGCTGCTGCATTGTCAGCTTCCACTGAGGCCCTGCCCCCTGCTGCTGGGAGGGGCTGCCCTCTGGGGCTGGCACTTCAGAGGGTGGGGAGGGAGCAGGGATGTGCTCGAGCGTGCCTGCATGAGTAGAAGTGTTGGAATCTGGATGGCTGGGTGTGAATCTGAAAGTGCCTGTGTGCTTGTGTGTTATGTGGATGTGCAGGGCTAGCTGGGTGAGAGTGTGTGCCTCCGTCCATGTGTCAGAATGAATGTCTGTCCCTGGAAGGATCGTGGGCGACTGAGTGTGTCTCCGCACACGCGTCCCTGAGTATCCCTGTGTGTGCATGAATGTGATTCTAGAGGGGTTCATTCACTCACTGAAAACATTTATTGAACACCTACTATGTGCCAGGCACACTGTAGGTGCTGGTTATACATTAATGGGCAAAGCAGGCCAAGCACCCTGCCCTGGTGGAGCTTGCATTCCGGTGGGGAGAAAGGCAGTAAACAATCAATGTTATAATAAATAAATTATCTGGTGATGTTAGATAAGTGAGATGGAAGAATAGAGCTGGCCGGGTAAGGGGATGGGGAGAGCAGAGGTGTTACAGTTTAAGAAGTGTGTTGATGTGTCTGTCCAGGTGTGCATCTGGGAGTGGCACCTCTGAGCTTGCGGCCAGTGGGTGAGGCAGTGTGTGTGAGAGGTGGAGAAGGCCAGCCCCTCTGTAGGCACCAATCCCCCAAACAGGCCGTTGGCACAGGCCCTCCCAGCCAGTGTGTCTTACTCAGCTTCTCTTTCCCAGGTAGCGCCAGCCCCTCCCCAGCGCTGGGCCAGCTCCCCAAACCGGTGAGACGGTGAGACAGGAGTCTCAGTGAGTCCCAGCATGAGCTCTCTGGGTGGGGCCTTCTAGTCCATTCTCTCAACCCCACCCATCCCAGATGCCCTGGCCTCTTCCACATCTCTGTGTCACTCAGGCCCTCCTTACCCCACCCCCAGCATCTCATCAGTCATAGCATCTATAGTAAAATGGGTAGAAGGTTAAGGACAGCCTAAAGGGCACTGGGGATGCGGCCTCACACACTAGGGCCAGACTCAGATGCCACAGAGGTGTCCTGGACCTGGAGAGACCCCATCCTAAGGAGAGCATCACTTCTACCATGTATCGAGTACCTACTATGTGCCAGGCACTTGGCAGTTTCTTTGTAAAGCTCAAAACAGCCTTGCATCATAGATAGCAATGCCTTCTGCCACAGGTGAGGCTGAGTGATGAGAAGCAGCTTGTCCAAGGTTCCTCAAGGCGGGTGGTGGCTGAGCTGGATTTGAGCTTTTCCTCCCCGAATCAATGCTGCTCAGAGAAGGGAGAGAAAATGAGAAAGCCCTGGGCTCTGGTGTTGGTTTTGTCCCTTTAGGCTGTTAGCTGGGGCTGAAGAGAGGAAGGTGAGGGCCAGATGTGGAGACAAAACACCCACATTGCCACAGCTCACTGAGGGAGGCGAGGAGTTTCAGAAGCGGGGGAGGGGTGGGGAGCAAGAGCAGGCTGTCAATCACCCTCTCTGAGGCAGATCCCAGAACCCTTCCAGCCCTATTGTCAGCTCCATGGGATTGGGTTGGATGTTAAGGGGACTGGGGACAGGCTTGCTGGGGCCACTTTGACCAGCCTCTTCTTGAATCCTGAGAAGTGTTGGCTAAAGGAGGAGGGGGCAGAAGTCTCATGGGCTTTCCCAAAATTCCAGTAAATTCCAATGGAAGAAATTTTCCTCCCTTAGGTTTGAGAAATCGTTCTTAAAGTCTTACCCCCTGTGTTCCCCTTCTCTGGGAGAGTAAGGTCTCCCCTGGGGACAAAGAATGACACCTTCCTGTGTCAGAAGGCTGTGTCCAGTTGGCACTGGGGCCAACTGCATGACCCGACTGGAGAAGTCCTGGCAGCCTCAGGGCACACGGCCGCCACAGCTTCCTCACTCTGGGGTCTTCATCCAAGCCTTCTCTTGCAACTTCTCTCCAAAGACAGCTCAGGCAGATGCCCCCGTTTTCATGGATGGGGAAAAGGAGCCCAACGAGGCTAGATGGGTCCCCAGGGCCTAGGCTCACTCTAAGAAAGGCTGGAGCAGGCCAGCCCAGCTCCCTTTCCATGATCAAGCTCCAAGATGACTGGGGATTAGATAGGAATGTGCTGGGGGTGGGGGCAGCCCCCCCCAGTCAGCCCCAGCCTAAACCTCAGGCCGACCTGTGGACACATCACCCCATAATCACCACCTGCCCCTGGCCCACCTGGCGCCGAGGTGCCTGGATAGCATCTCTTCTGTCCCCCAAACAGCCCTTGGTGTGGGAGTACCTCACATGCCTATGACTCAAGTGGGAAAACTGAGGTAAGGGGGGAGGACATGCCTGCTGATTTACGCCCCCCCCCCCGCCACACACACACCAACAACAGAGGATGCCAAAAAAATGTATACACATGTTAAGAAAGGAAAACTGTATTAAAATTGTAATAATATATACTGATAATAAAAGATGAATACCAGTCATGTTTGACTTCTGCAATTACAAGAGGTGCTCAAAGTGGTTACCATCAGCGTCCAGACACTTCTGATTACGGCGAACTACTGCTTGAGCAACACTGACCAAAGTGTCCACTTGTATGCATTGTTTTGGCACCCCCAGTATACTTGATCCTCTGAACCTGTGAAAGAATTCACTAAGGTAAGTCTCAAAGAAGAGGCCAAGAAAACTTGACATTTTCCAATTTGGGTCACCTTGGAAAAGAAGAGCACGATGTTATGTTCCTGGACCAAAATAAGAGGTGGCCACTAGAGATTCCTTCCTTTTCCCTTGACCACTTGACTAAGTCCTTGTGGCCTTCCTGGAGGAGGAAGTTGGGAGGGAAGGAGTTCAGCCAATCTAAGTAGGCAGTCTGGCCTCTCTCCCTAGCCTGGGTGGGTGTGGGGAGCCTCATAGCCATGAAGGACTTCCTGCTAATATTTTTTTTATCTCCAAATGAGGTTATGCATAGTTACAGAGACACAGGGACAGGAATGAAGTCAGAAAGTGCTTGTCATATGACTTTAACCTTTAGCACAATTGTTTTGATAACCCTGTGTTGTTTTTTTTAAATAAGACATTGTTATCCTCAAAAATGGAAACGTCCCTGGCTTTCTCTGCCACCCCCACCCCACACACACTGGATGGAGCTGGCTTCTCTCAGCACCCTCATCACAGCAGGGTCCAGCCTTCACCCTCCCCCATGCTCCCTGCCCCTCCCCCTCACGACTTCCAGGTTCTCTGCTGGGGCCATAAATTACCCATGAGCTGTTAAGTTGGCTGCTTCTTGAACTGGAGGCTGAAGTGCTGATGAAATATTCAAGGATCTCAACTCTCAAATTCCCTGGTGGCCACGGGATGGGACTGGGGAAGATGGGATTAATGTACAAGGCCAGGGACCTCGGAGTCCTGACCCCAGTTCCCACTAAGGTGGAGTCGGAGCCCCACCAGGGAGGTGGAGAGGGCTGGTGAGCTGGGGGAAGGGTCTCTGTGTGTAATCAATGGCTCCCGGAGGTGCCCTCTGGCTCAGAGGGCTTAGAGGAAGTGAGGGGAGGTTACAGATTTAGAATCCAGAAGAGAGCTGGCGGGCCCAGAGCCTACCCTACCCCTCCCCTAGCCCCGGCTGTCTAATCTTGAGGTTTTCCTGAAGTCACACCTCAAAGGCTTCCCACAAAATCGATTCTCATCTCTACCCCCACCACTGTATCCCAGCTTTGTTAGGATGAAAAGAGACCTACATTGGTGGGAGTGGTGAGCTGGTGGGCAGAAGACAAAGGTTCAAGTCCCAATCCTGCCAGGAATTTGCTTGTGTGATTTTAGGGAAGTTCCTCTGGCTCCAGTCTCAGTTTCCCCACAGATACAAGGAAGGAGGCTCTGATTAGACTATTCCTTCTTCCTTCTTTTTCTTCCTAAGGACCCTGGATAGGTGGGGGAAAAACGAAATTCTTGGTGTGTGTGTGTGTGTGTGTGTGTGTGTGTGTTGAAGTGGGAAGGGAAGGGAGGGGTGGCTTCTCTGTGGGAAGGGCACCTGTCAGGGCAGGCAGGCTGGTAGGGTGGGTGGGGCCCTAGCTGTTTCAGCCTGTGTGTGAAGTCACCCAGGCCAGGAGCAGGAAGGGAGGTGACTCAGGTGGCAAGGCCTCGCCCCCCCCTCCCATCCCCCACCCAATCACTCAGGAGGAGAGGGGGTGCTCAGAGAGCCAGGGAGACTCAGGACCAGGATGCAGTCCTGATGTTTGCAGCCCACGCTGTTGGACTCCTGAAGTCCTGGAATTTCACCTGCGGGGCTGGGTTGGGGGTGGGCAAGGGAAGGCAACCCCAGGATAGACATTCTCTGGAGAGGTCCTGACCTTCCTCCAGCCGCTCCCTCTACCACCATCACTGGCCCCTGGTATCTCGCCCTGGCCTGTGCTATTTCTGGCTTGTCCTATCTCTGCTTTCTTGTCTCCCTGTTTTCCCTTTGACATTCCATCCCCACCCACAGCCTTGCAGTGAAGTGTTGCTGGAGCTACCCCTATAATTAAGAGCCCTCCCCAGTGGCTGGGCACACACCCAAAGGTCCAGGCCCAGGGCCTGGGCAGCCTCTGGCCTCCAGGCTCCTCCCCTGGACAAAGGGCAGCAAAAAAACGGCAGGAACACTCCCACCCCCACTCCCAGGGCCTAGCACCATCCTATCCTGTTCCTGCTCCCACACTGGGGGGTGCTTGGGCCCCCTCCTGCCAGAAGCGTTTGGGAAGCAGAGGCTCTTCTGCAGCAGCCAATGTCTTCTCCCCAGCTCCAGGATCACCCTGAGCAAGCCTCACCCCACCCCAACACCTGTGCACGGGGCCAGGAGTGCAAATGGAGGCCCATAAAAATAATATATATAAATAAGTTACAGAGGAGCTAACAAACTGTTAAACAAGATATACCTTGACAAGTAGATCTGCACAGTGACCTGAAAGGCCAGGATGGGGTTGAGGATTCTGACTCCTCAGAACATGGCAGTGCAGAGATAACTGTCCCCTGGGCCACCTCCCCTTTCCTTTGAGCCCTGGCTGCCCCCACACTGCACAGGGCCTCCAGCCCATGTGTGTAGACACCCCAGCTTGCATGTGTGTGCTGTATCCATCCCTCCCTCATAACTGCCCCTTGTCCCCTTTTGGCTAAGTGTGCACATACCACCATGCATGGTGCTTCTTTTTGTTCTCAGGAGGAAGGGCCAGAGTGAGAGACCTGCAGGCCCTACAAGGAAAGTCAGTGATGAACAAGGAATTCCAGTGTGCCTGGTACCTGGAGTGTGGTCTCCAAGGGGAGAGGTAAGAACTCTGTGTAGACTGGCACCCCTAGCCCCATGTGGAGGGTCACAACCCCAGGAGGACTAGTGCAGGGCAGGGGCTTCCAAGGGCAGGACCCAGGACAGAGGCCCCTCCCCGAGTCTGTGGATGGCTCTTCCCCAGGGCTGAGCGGAGGCCCAAGCCCTTGATTTTTGCATTGCCTTTGAGTTCAGCCTGCCACTGGGACAGACTTCCAGTTGACTGTTCTCCTTTCCTGCTGCTGGGACGCCAGAGAGAGCTGCTGTGTGATGAAAAGGGATTATCATCAGCCTGAAGTTTAGCAACCCATCTGCTCACCTGGTCTTTCTTGATGGAGGTAGCCATTCCTGAGGCCACTTTAGGCCCAAGAGGAGAGAAGAAGGGTGTGTGTGTGTGTGTGTGTGTGTGTGTGTGTGTGTGTGTGGTGGGGGGGAGCTGACAGGGCTGGCAGCTGCGTGTCTGAATCTGAGCCCATGAGTGGTGAGTGTATGTCCTGGAGGTGTGAGCACAGGGGCTGTGAGTGGGTTGCGCAGACCTACATCTCTGCCTGTCTCTGTCTGGGGAAGGGGCCCCCACAGAAAAAGGGCCAAGTTAGAACAGACAACAGAATCTCTTCTACCGCCTTATATGGCCCATATGCTCCTGGAGGGTGAGGGGAAGTGAGATGAGGGAGGAGGTGCCTGGCTGTTGTTCACCTTCCCCCAAGGAAGTGCCTCCCCATCCTCACCAGCTCCCGCCTCCCACCGGCCCCTTATAGGATCAGATCCCTCTTTGCCAGTAACTTCTGTCTCTGGGACAGCTTGGTGCTCTTTCCTTCTTTACTCTGAGGCCCCAGAAAGCTGCAAAACTGAATGAACCATATGTGTTCTTGGAGGCTCAAGGACTGCTTCCACTGAGCTCTGGGCAAGAGAAAATGGGTTTAAACTGCAGAAATATGAATTGAGGCTAGACATCAGAAGGAACTTACGAGTGTTAGAATAAGGAGACATAGGTGTTCATATAAGGGAGGCTGGACAATCTCCTTTTCTGGGGATCTGGCAAACAGAAGTCCCTGCCTTTAAAGGCTTAGAGGCAGGGGCCTGGGTAACATGGTCTTGTGGCCTTTCCTTCCAGTTCAAGCTACAGAGGAGACTGTGGCCACAGCAACTCTCATCCGTATCCCCAGGCACCTCCTCACCTGGTGAGACTACATCCCCCATACAGACAGTTGATTCTAGTAAACATCATTTTCTGATCCCACAGATGAATCTTCAGTGCCTGGAGGGCACATAGTAGGCACTTAATAAATGTGTAGAAAATCTCTTGATCTGGGGGGAGAGAGACAGCTCTTACCCTGGTCTTTCTTGCTGCTGCGGTGGTGCCTCTACCCAGGCCCAGCCAGAGTGCTTAGTTAGCTCTGGCGGCCAGCGTGTTGCAGCACGCTCCAGGCTGACAGACAGGGAGAACTCTGGGACACACACACACACACACACACACACACACACACACACACACACACACA